TTGCGCGGCAGGCGCAACTCCTGACTCTCGTCGATGGCCTTCAAGATGTACACCTGCAGCACGGCCTCGATGGTGGCGGAGAGCGAGCCGTTGGGTGCCACGCTGACCAACCAGTCTGAGGAAGGACACCGTACCGATTTCATTGAGATACTAAAACACCCCATCTTCGTGCCCACTATAAAGACACTAACCTCGATGGCCCATGCGGATAGACTTGATGGTCTTGTACTTCTCGGTGTACTCCAGGCCCCTGGCAGCCAGTTCCTGGTACACATCGTCCTCTGCGAGCTCGATGGCGTCCTCCTCCAGGTCACGGGCGTGCAGGACGGGCGGCTGTTCACTGCCGGAGACCGTGACCTTGGTCTGACCCAGCAGTGCGGTGTGTGGCTTGTCGTTCTCGTCGACGTACAGTAGCTGCGTCTCCGTCGTGCCCGTCATGAAGTGAGCCTCGAGGAAGTTGTCATCTGCCCAGTGGGAAATGCGGATATCAAATTGACATCAGAACGATATCGGACATCAGAAAAGTGTCGATTTCGGGCCCATTTTTGAATCAGTTCTGAGTCAGAAACTTGAAAACGATATCGTTCTGATATCGATTCGATATCGCTTAAAATTCATTTCGCACTGGGTGTGGGTTACGGAACGTAAGACAGAACCTAGTAGCAATATGTATACGGCAAAAGGTTAACTAACCGTTACGAGAGACAGGCATCCACTGTTTCACAAGGATATCCTGGAAGGATACGTGGAAACTTTCACCCTTTTCTGCTTTTCTTGCGAGAGCACTCTCGTACATCAGGACCTGTAATATGGAGGTTCCATTAAACATGACCAAACTTCAAATAAAGCAATTGTTACTAAATGGACTTATGATCGGGTGGGCCCAAGTAACCCTCACTCACCAGCTCTTCCGATAGCGGGAAAATACGTGATCCGCTGACTTTTACGTGGTACAAGACGTTCAAATTTATGACCGTCAGGCTCTGATACACAGAAAAACAAAATAAACCAAAATTGAAAATTTCAATATTATTACCAAACCCGACCAAACTTCCATTATAAAGGGGTTTAACTCACCCATTTATCCGTTAGGTGCATTATGTCATTGTTTGTGGATTCATCATTGGCATAGAGCACAAGAGGCGCCAATGATAGAGTCCCTCGAGGTACAGGGAAGCCCACATCAGGATACAGGGCAGACACTTTGGGGGAAACGGATGCGAAGGACATCCTGTGGTTACAAGTAAGGCAAGGGATTAGGACACTGTGAGTATTTTCACAAACGTTTCAGCAAATGAATTCATACAACAGAAGTTGAGATAGTAACACTTGTTGTCGATTTCCACATTTTTCTGCCAAAAAAGCATATCCGCAAAAGTTGTGTACTTATGAATGGGAACAATAGACGACTCCAGTTTGAGAAGTGTTCAATGAAAGCTTTGTAAATAGAGTCCTACTGACCTGCCAATGGCGGCGAGCAGAAGTCGAAGGGGATCGGCATGGCCGCGCTGTGTGAGGGGGATGTGGACATTGTCGGGCAGCGCGCGCTTCAGGATGGCCTGCAGCAGGCCGTGAGGGGCCACCTCGATCAGGACGGCCTGCTCGGGGATGTACGGGAGCGCCTCTTCGAACAGCACGGGGCTCAACAGGTTGTTGGTCTGGTACTCGGCCGAGCAGAACTTAGCCAGCTCGCTGTCCTGGAAAGATGCGTCAATGGCTCTTTATTTCTGTTGGTCTAGAAGGGCTGGGCGAGAGAGGCGGAATCCTTACCCGCTTGTCGACTGGCACCGACGTCGTGATCCACCTGGAGGAGCGGGGCTTGGGCTCGGGGATAACCTCCTTGAGGTGCTGCAGCAGGTGCGGTGCGGCGGGCTGGATGTA